GATTAGATTTCTACCACGCCTTCTGCCTTTGGCCAGGTTGAAGCCAGCCTCATCCAAGTATATGAAGTTGTGAGGTGGTTCTCTTCGTTAACGAAGGTGAAGACTCACCTGAGAGCAATTTCTCAATTCTGGACATATTTCTTAGCAAACATCTACTCACACTTTGTAGAAATCTGTACAGACATACAATTCTGAGAACATGTTCACTCATTTTGATAGTACAGACTTCCAACCTGAAAAAAAGACTAATTGGTTTGGTGGTTGTGACATTTCAGCTGAGAACCAGGACAAGTTATTTTGCACAGCTGGACAAAAGCAACAAGAATTGTCAAAAACAGCTGACAGATGTACAGAACCATTTGCATGTTGTCCAAAAGCAATTGCAATTTGATGAAAACAACAAGAAATTGCTGATATGATGTGAACAACTGACAACAGAATCTGACGGTTGAACGAGTAGTTCTGAGAAATGCAGTTCTGTTGTGAGAAATGAATGAAAGCGATAGAGAAAAACTGTAATATCAATTGAATGTCTTAGGAATTTGTAGTTGATTATAGAAAACCCATTATGGAATCTAATATTTTGTAGAATATAAAATTAATCGATTAATCGCAAAATAATAAGCAGATTAATCTAAAATAAATACAGTGGCCTTTGTTCTTGTTGACTCTTGTGATCTCCAGTGAGTCACTGATGAATCACCATGAAAACGTGAGAAAGTGATTAATATTGATAGTAAACCTATACTTGTGCTTCAACTTTAGATTGTTTCAGGTTGCATGGATTTTGTGTATTGTGCTGGATTCTACAGAAGCATTTGCTCATCTCAGATTATACCACAGTGTATAGTAACACCAAATCACTAGTCACATCGATCAGCTGAATTTGCGCCTATCAAAATGTTATCACATGTGACTGCACCACCAAACACATCTGCTTCTTCTTCTTCTCTTGCATAAACACAACCACATGGCTGTCTGTTTGAAACCTCTTTCAGGATGTGACATATCCATAGACATACAGTACTTACACGAAGTTCTCACTGGTAGTCAGTGGGAACTGACATTATATAGCCACAAAGGGCTATAGAGAAACTGGAATTTCTTTACGTAACTGTGCTGCATGCAAGTCCCGCCCAGCCTGTGGCCACTGAGATGATGGTAGGCGGAAGACGCATGTACGGTCTCTGTGGTTGAGCCTTCAGCACGATAATGTAACGTAATCTTGAAGCGTATGACATTTTATGACACTGAATACAGAAGGCATACCCCAAACACCAAAACTAAAGACCTTTCTTTTTTTTGACAATAAGAGAACCAACATAGAAAATACAGTGCTAATACAAAAAGTATTCACTTGTTTTGAAGTTATATTGTTGTTCACTGCACTAATTTTATACATCACAGACTTTTTAAACTGTAGGTGTTGGGGGGTACTATGGCAAATTCTGATAAAAAAAAGAGGCAGCTTTTAAGTCAAAATCCAGTTTAAAGTCTGAATTCTGAGAAAAAAAAGTCAGAACTCAAATATTTTTACAGTGGCCCTAATCTTCATCCGTATCAGAGAGAGCTGTGTGAAGTTTGATAAACTGCCTCAAGTGACATGTCTGGAGCAATCATTGGATCAGAAGCCTGAAAATGATAAAATCTGGAGGTGTGGAGTTAAAAATGAGCTTGCCAGACCTTGTATTGTGCTCATCTTTGCTTAGCCTCTTTCTGCACCCAGATGTCTGATTGCACTGTTAGTGGCTGCACTGCATTGTGGGCAATGTAGGTATCAAAAAGAATATGTGGAATAAGTAAGTTACTGGCTTTTAATTGTTCACTGTGAGACTCAGTGGTGGAAGAAGTATTCAGCAAAGCCACATTGTAAAAATAGTCTTGCATGCAAAGTGTTACTAAAGTATTAGCAAGACATACTGTACCAAAAGTAAAAGTACTACTGATGCAAAATGGCACAGTTTACATTGATGTACATCATATTATTCAATTATAATTGTATTTAATGTTGCAGCTGGTAAATATAGAGCCGTGGTAACTCCCTTATATGCTTACAATTTATGTTACCATTGGGTAGCTTGTGAATTTTACAAGGATCAATAAATCTTGTGATTATACTTTATTAACCTAATTCTAAAAATTACTGTTATCAAATGTAGTGAGTACAAATTCCAGGATTTTTCTCTGAAATGTACTGATATCCCCCTACACTACATTGTGACTCCAGTGAGTACAGGTGCTGTAGACAGCTGTGAAGACAGCTGCTTCTACAAGATGCTACCTTGACATTAGTTGGGTTCATCTACTAGGTATTTCTTCGAAACCACACACCAACTTCCTGGATCACTGACATTTACTGAAAGTATTTGCAAGGACTGTTTCCAGTGAATGTGCATACTCTCTGTAACAAACACATCATACTCAGTTTAGTTGTACAGTTTATTTAGACAGTGTGTATCCAGACAGTCTTACGACATTAAAACATAATACAGAACAAAAAAACTTTAGTTTGTACAACAGGCATTAGCAGTTTCTTTTTAAAACAGTGATGAAAAGTAATGTACATGTACTTAGGTAGTTAAGTTCAGATTTGAGATGCTTGTACATTACTTGTGTATTTCCATTTTATGATAATTTACTGTAATTATTTCACTACAGTATATTTATTTGGCATTTTTATTTACTTACAATAAATAATGAGCTAATGAAATAAAACTTAATAAAATACAACAATATAATAGTGGTTGCCATGTCATGTGATCACTAATGTAAACGCTGTATCTAGTCTTGTCTCCTTGTCACATTTCAGGGGGTCTGTGACTTGTTAGCAGTTTCAACAAAGAGACATTTTTAAACTTCTCTGTTTCATTTAAATAATGTTCAGTCACAAAAATTCAAAGACCATAGGAAAGGCCAAAAACAGAAGACCGATTTGTGTATCAGACCCTTTTTTTGTTTGTTTGTTTCCTACCCTTTAATCATCTTATTAACCCACCATCACCACCAAAATCTACTGACCCTTTGGAGGAGGACAGGCTCCAGGCTGCTAACCAATATAATATCTTTTTCTCTGTAGAATTAGCATTTTTACTTTTGGAACTTTAAATACATTTTACAACTAACACTTATCTTACCATTATAAATGCAAGACTTACTTGAGTACTTTCACATTGTTGGATTTGTACTTTTACTTAACGAAAGGATGTAAATACTTTGCCTACCTCTGTCTTTCAATAAGAAATGTCAACTCATTTGTTTTCCTTGAAGTTTTTCACCAGAGGGCGCTAAATGAGCTGGACCCAACCTGCAGCTGTTTCCATGTGCCTCCTATACTACAACTACTACTACTACACATAAATGTCAGCCAGGCACTGTATATGCCAAGCTACCGTTGGCTTGTATCTGATCTCTTAGTGAAACATAAATGAATAAAACTAATGAGGGCATGCTTTCATAACTCCTCTGACTGTCCCGTTGAGGGGAAAGTCTTCTGTGAGGTAAACAACATCAAAGTCCTCACATTTACAACACCAATCTTTCCAAAGGTTGAACTGAAAACATGAGTGAAGGCATCTCTCAGTGGGGAAAAAAGAGCACATTAACTCCACAAGCGGAATTTCCCCAACCCCACATATCACTAATAGCATATCTATTACTGTTTTCACTACTGGTAGAACAGAGCTGAAAAGCAAAACATGACAAAGATGGACAACTGTGTGAAGGCAACAGCTCTTCAGGAGTTCATAACAGTATTGATTATTACTATATTTATAATACTATTCAAACTGTGCATTTCTCAGATGTTTGTCACTTGCTCCATTAAAGCACATCTTATTGTATAAGATCATAAGTATTGAAAAAAGCAGGAATAATGTGTATGTATGTGTACTTTAGCAAGATTAAGTGATTGTTTGAAAATAATACTATATTAGTGGCATGATCGTTGAGGCTTTTATACCAACATCTGCATCTCTAATTTGTAATAAATACGGAGGTTACACACATAGTGATTTATTCTGAGTATAATTATCCTACAAAAGAAAGCATAACAGTTTAAGTAGTAAGTTATGGTTTACTACCTAACTCTAAACTGATTTACAGTTAAACGATAGAAAAGTGTGGTATGATACATACAAATGTTTCAGATAATTTACCCAATATTCTATTACAACAGAACAAACAAAAGTCAAATGTTGACCACACTGCTGACTGTGAATACACCTACTACAATACAGATAGTAACTAGTTTTTCTGATGCTTAACTGGTCTAAAACTTCACAGTATTAGTTGTCATGGAAAGTTTCACCTTAGGGCTCCCCTGCATTCAGTTTGAGGGAGGACAAACAGCCACTGCCGCTCTCCTCCACTGGCCTCCGACACAGTGAGTCCTCTGTTGAACGCAAACGTCAAAGCATAATTAATTAATAAAAATGTTCATATTATTACACACTGTACAGCCACAATTAATATCATTATTAATTTGCCTTGTCATTTTAAAAGACATTGACAAAGAGCCAAGAGTGAAGGAGCACAGGTGGCAGGAGCCACTAAAAGAAAGAAACTTAAATGTTTCCTACTACCTTGAAAAACATTGTATAGTAACAATGGGTTTAGCTAAGGAACAATGCCTTTCACTTTAACCTCTATAAGGAGAATAATGTTCAAAAGAATAAACTGATCAGAACTATGTTCACTTTCTTAACAGGAGTTAGATGATCTTTCATGTTTGTATTGTAAATATGAAACTATACAGACGGCAGATGTAAGCACTTAGTCTTATGAATGGAAACGCGAGAAACAGCTAATCTGTCACCTTTTAAAGGTAACAGTATGAGCCTACTAGCACATCTAAAGTTCATGAACTAACATGTTATATCTTGTTTTTTAAATCTGTACAAAAACTGTGCAAGTGTAAAAACAGTATAGTGTGGTGGGGGGGGATCTGTGTGTCAGATCATTACTTAACCAACGTCCCTGTTTGTCATCGGACAAACTCCCAGTGACAAAATAGTCACTTTGGTTTTTAATTTATAATTGATTTGAACAAACACAATATAACATTTGAATTAGCAAGCTGTTGAAGTGCCGGTCTAGATGGAGTGTGGATTACAGTTGTATTAACCTTCTCATTTAATATTCAGTAAGAAAGCAAATTGCTTGTTAATACTGTTTATTTTGTTATATTACACAGCCTTATGCTGGTTTACTGTTTACTTGCCCCTTGCATGGGGTTATGTACATACACATTGAGATCCGATGTACCACAGTCAAATTCCTTGTGTGTCTCACACACCTGGCCAATAAAGCTGATTCTGATTCTGAAATACTGAGTATATTTCCCAAAATGTCATGCTATTCCCTTAACTGTAGAACAAGTATACATTTAATACTTTGACATACTTTGCACTGCAGTTTTTTTCTTCATACAAGGCCTGATGTGCAGCTTGCAGGTCACAGCGGTCAGAATGAGCAGTCCAGCAATGCCAAATATGAGGATGGCCACCCCTGAAGAAGACAGGCAAGGTACAAGTTACTCAATGAAACTTTATAGTCTGAGGTTGTGTCATAAAAAGACAGTAGCAAATGTATTACCAATGTGGTTGCCTGTATTTGAAAAGGTGGTAGTTTCCACCTTTTTCACTGTGGTGACTGCAGGGCCTTTGGTGGTGGTTGTACGCGTAGCCTGAGTTTGGGTCTCCTCTTGTGAGTGGGCAAATGTAGAGCGTGTGGTGTAGGGTGTAGTGATATCGGGGTTATTCTTAAACGTATTACAAATAACATCCGAGACCTTGGTTCCAGTAATATTCACTCCTAATTTACATCTAAGAGGAGGATAAAAGATAAAGCCATAAACAACAGGTAACTTCTTAAGATTACACTGACATATGCAATATGATGCAAGTACAGTTTTCAAAACACTTGAACAGAGTGAACATACTCTTTCCATTTTCGACAGGGCTTGTCGATTTCATCGTTGAAATATCCATCTTCGCACTTTGAACACTCTGGTAAGGAAAAATAATTAATCATTAAATAGATGATTTCTTTGGCATCTTGCATCCAGTAGTGTATGATCTACAGTATGTACCTTTATTATGCAGTCCAAATCCTTTGCTGCATTTGCAAGTGGAATAATCATTGTCCCAGACAACAAATTCTCCACGGCACTGACATTTTGTGTTTGTCTCTTTTGTGCACGCTTGTTTAACAATACTTCCATGTTCTAGAATTTAAAAATAAAACAATCCTATTTATTAAATGGACATTGAGACTTGAAACTCAACAGCTAAGCATGTGAAATAACATTTTGGTAGGTTATAGGTTATAAAATGCTTCATGCCAAAGCTTCACCACTTACTTGGGTCACACTTTGTACATGGTTTACACATTTGGGAATCATTTTCTTCAGGCTGGTAAAATCGATCAGGACAGGTTATACAACCAGCTCCGTCATCAGTCACTCTTTGACCTTAATTTATTTCACAGCAGCAAAAGAAACAATGTACTTAAATCACAGTCACACACTATAGTTAGGTACATAACAAATAAAATGAAATTGTAAATCGAAAAACAAAAGATTATTTTGTGGAATGTGGAGGGAAATTATGGCATAGTAAAAGAAAGCCATACTTTACCTTTTGGGCAAATCCTGGCTTCCAAATCAACAATGAGATTATAAAAAGTCAAAGTAAATATAAGCAGTTTAAGCAGAACCATATCCAGTTCCTCTGTGCAGAGACAAGCTACTGAGTGTTTCCTGTATGAGAAGACACAGAGAATAACAGGAACAGAAACACCCCATAAATACCCCACTTGTAAGTGCTGACAAGCCCACATTTCTTTTATGAATAGGCAGGACACATCCATTGAAATACACCTCCTTCTCTCTCTCTCTCTCTCTCTTTTTTGCAATGAAATCTATAGCACGAATATAAGTATAATAATTAGGATAATAATAACTTACATTTGGTAAGGTAGTTCTGATGCTTTGTTACTAGGGATCCACACTGAAAGTGAGATGTGTACATGCTACTGAAGCATGAAGAAAAGAGCTGTAACTACTGTAGAACAAATGAGGTTCCAGTGAAGAGGAATCAGTGAAAGGTGATAGGTAATTTTTATTTGGGAGCTTTCATCAACAGGATCTTGAGTAAGAAAGATCAAAGCTCAAGTGCACAACATCATTTTTTACAGGGAAGTGAGAAAAACTGTAGAACTCTTAACAGTCAATACACAATTAAATGTGCCAAAGAATGGGAGAGCATTCATATGGAAGCTCAGTATATGGGTTAAATGATGTTTATCCATTATTTGGCCCCAAAGAGGGGGTGTCAGGCCATGCCATCATAAATCTTAAGAGCCGCACAATAAGCGACACCATTTTCCAGACCTAATCGATCTTAATGCAAAGCATCCCTGAACCCTATCCTCACCCAAGTAAAGAGCAGAGATGTGGCTTGACACACATTGTATTTGCTCAGGTTTAGCAGTGGCTGGTCCAACTGGCTTGTAATGGCAGTCACCTCTGAGAGCCGGGTCTGCTCAGTTGTCCAACCACTGACACTGTTCTACCAAGATTGTCTAACATTCCAGTGAGTCTGTAGTTATATTATCACCAACACCAATACAAGTTCTGTGTGGGTGTGGGAGTAAAGGCAAATCTACAGGGTCATCAGGTGGGCACCCTCTCACTAACTGGTGTTTTGTTGAGTTGGGCCCCATGACACAGAGAAGGCTCAACAGTGTGTTCCAGGTTATCCATCCATCCATTATCTATACTGCTTATTCCTGAATAGGGTCATGGGACCTTCATGCTGTGAGGCGACAGTGCTACCCACCACACCGCTGTGCCACTGGTCTGAGGTTAGTTCTGACTATCTCCTCACGAATTGTGAGCTGATTCCCTAAATCTACATTGATTTGCCAATCTCTCCCTGCCTTTAGCTGGCCTGCATCGTGCCTGTTCAAAATGACGTCCTTCCTGCCTTTTCCATCCTCATGAACAAACAAAATGCCCTCGTTTCTTCTTCTCCTCCACTGAGTTTACCTCTGTTGGACCGGGTACTTTTCACCATGCTAACTCTGAGAGACGAAGCAGTCCAAGTAACTTCAAAACAGTGCTGATTTATTCAATGAACACAGGTAAAAATTAACATTGCACGCTCAGGTATCTTGCACC